AAAAAAAAAAAGGTAGAGACTTTTTTGAAATAATAGTGAGAGGTATGTACATTATGTATTAATTACCATTTTAATAATTTATTTGGGACTCATTTGTGCATTTTTAAAAAAAATAGGTACTATAATTGCAATTAATTTTTTTCTTTTGATTTATTTAAAGAGAATGATATATTTGTCATTTTACAATTTTTAATTGAGAAAATGGATGAAAATGACTTTTTGCATAATGAATGATGGAAATAAGGGCGAAAATGCCAAAAAAATGAATAGCAGTGAAGAGTGGGGACGTTATGTGCTAATTACCATATTTTTTAGTAAGAGCATGTTTGAGTCATATTTTATTGTATTTTGGAATAGTAAATTGAAAATAAGGAAAAGTTTTGGATTTGCGTGTAATATTATTTTATTGAAAAATATGTGATTAAAAAGAAGATAAAGAAAAATGTATTTTGGCACCAGTTTGATACACATTCTCACAAAAATTTATTTTTTCAAAATTCATTTTCAATCACACATTTTGCAATAAAATAATATTACACGCAAATCCAAAAAAAATTCTTATTTTTTAACCACACATTTTTCATCACATCATCAAATGTATTTTTTTTTTCTCCATAATGTGCATCAAAAGTCATTTTTTTTAAGATGATTTTTTAAAAGGACGAGTGATTAAAAAGTAGGAAAAAATGTAAAAAAATAATTTTTTGAAAATTTTGTGGTAAAAAACGAGTTTACAAATTTTATTTTTTGCAAATAATCATTTTAAAAAATGGACTTAAGTTCCTCTATCCGTATTAATCATCAATAAAGTGTATAATTATTAATTAACTAATATTTGATTTCCCTAAGAAATTTGAATTCTTAAAAAGAATATTCAAACAAGCATATATATCTCACAGGGGGTGGCAACTTCGCAGGCGGGGTAGACCTCACCGTCCCTGCCTTATCGGTGTTGGGATCTTCGAGGTATGAATGGAGTTAGAATATCCTCATTTTTCAACATTGTTTATTTACTTATTACTTATTTTTATTTATCGAATACATTTTAAATTTAAATCATAAAAAGAAAAAGAAAATCTAAATAGAGACGATTTTGGAGAGAAATGTCATATTCTCCATCCCCACCTCATTCAAGATGGGATGACGCGAGCAGGAAAAGAGCATTTTATCATCCCTAAATTGATCGAGCGAATTTGACAAGGAAATTTTGAAAATAGAAGTAATTTAAGGTTAAATTCTTAAAAAGGACCACTTTCATAAAAACTCAACTTAAAGAGATCGGTATGACTTAGTCCTCATATTCAAGCAACAACAATAATGGTTCGATTCGATTCGATTCGATTCAGTTCCAATGAAATTGTAATTTGTTCACCTTAATTTTTTAAAAGGAGGGAGGACTAAACTGGTACAGAACATATGTTGGAGGGGTTTTGATGTAATTTTCTTGGGAAAAACTAAACTTACAGAAC